AACATATTTGTATGTTTTTACTTTTTATTATCTTTAATATTCCTTAACTGAAACCAACGTAATATCGTATATTTCTATGTTATAAACAATTCTATTTTTTATTATTTCTAATGTAGAAATATACAAATATTGTATCTTGTTAAGTTCTTGTTTAAATTTCGTTTACTTTTATCCATTTTTTCATCTTTAATTACCATTTATCTATTTCTATCTATAATTACTACTCATCTATCTTAATATTTAATTATCATTTATAATTACCATTTATCTATTTCGATTTTTAATTACTATTCATCTATTTTCATTTTTAATTACCGTTTATTTATTTCCATTTATAATTACTATTTACCTACTTCCATTTTTAATTATCGTTAATCTATCTCCACTTTTAATTATCAATACCATTGCTAGTTTTAGTTTTCACGAGATCCAACAGAAAATTGGAAATTCCAATAAACTAATTGCTGGGACTGTATATAAAACAAAAATTTTCTAAGACAACTATCAGAAACAGAAATCCAACGAAAGTGCACGTTCTCCTTGAATAATTTTTACAAAGCGAAAATAGCGTAAAAATGTATTTGAATGCCTCTGATATCTCCACACGTTTGCATTGCATTTACCCATATCGATCGTAAATGCATAAAATCCGCGCATAAATAAAGTCCGTGCCGTGTGTCATTTTACGTTTGAAACTTCTATGAAAACTGGAATACGTTTCTAGATTTCGTACACGTCCGGGTAACGCGCGCAGCGAACTATTATTGTCTTTTAAAGCGCATAAAAAGAAATTAGTTATGGCTGTCATTGGTTTGATCGCTCGTCGTACACCATGAATTTCCGATCACGATCACAAGTATCTATCATCGTAACGGTAGATCCGTGGGAACTTGTTCAACTCGTAAAACGGCGGAGTCGTAAAATTTAACGGTCCGAGTCTCAAGCTTCGGCTGTCGATAAATAAATAACGGGCTGATTAAATAACGAGGATCGTAAACTGTTCTTCGCGCCCTATCCGTTCTGCATGGTTAGCGGAACTAACAAATATCAATTGTCGAACGCTTTTCAAATCAGTACCCGCTTTTTGGAAGCGCGTTCAACTCGGCGCGAGCTCGATTCCGAGCCAATTTTCAACTTATATTTCTTTTTCTTTCTGAACTTTTTCGGCACTTTTACCATCTCGCGCGTTCACCGATCTCTCCCGTAAAATCCGTTGCTCGTTAGATGCCCTCGGATCGTCTCGCAAAGTGGCCGATCTCCTCTCGGCTCGATTCGCAATGTCAGAAGCTGCTACCGCGTCTCTCGGCGTGGCGGTACGTGAAATGAAAACAATGAAAACTCGATCGCGGTTTTCATCTAGCGTTCGTCGACACCGCAGGAAATCCGACGCTCGTTACGAAATAATTATCGATCGAGGAATTTTACGAAACGCGGCGCTAGACCGGCCTCTTGAAAACGCTGCAATTGTTAGCGGCCGTTCATTAATTATGGATCCCGAGGAGCATTATTCAGGACACGGTTACTCTTTCCCGGAAAATGAATATCTCGCCTTGGAACAGAAGAAGAGAGAGAGAGAGAGGGAGAGACGGAGAAGCCAGCAAGGCGGAAATATTCATAAACCGCAAGCATGGTACGCGGCCGATGCATTTTCTTGCGAATGAATTTTCATGCGGGGTAAACAATGTAACCGCGCCGCGATAATTCCCGGCGCGTGCGATCGTCGGACGTTCGGCGGGTCGCGGAGGGTGGCAGAAATTTTCATTTAACGCGTGCTGCGACCGGAAGAAGCTTCCTTGAAATTTAATGGACCGCGAGACCCGCAAAATTCTCTCGTCGCCGCTGGCCGTTTACCTTCCCGACGACGTTGCCGTTTTATCGCTGCAACGCGCTTCGGTAATATTGTCAGCGCCAGGATTTTCTTGATCGATCTCTTTCCTTCGATGTCTATTTTCATTTTTTTTTTTTTTGCGATTAACGAAGTTGAAACGTTCTTTCTATATACTTCGAGAATTTGGCTGCTTGTCGGCTCATTTTAAAGAGGCACGATGAAACAGCTCGCGATTGCGGTTACTTTCGAGATCAACAACTTTTGTTTCGTGGAACTTTTACACAGTTGTCGACAACTTTTAAAACGGACGAACTTTACCAAAATTTAATCAAACAATTTGAATTTTTTCAAATGATGGTGGAGTTAGTGTATTGAACAACGCGTACAAAAATATTTGCGAAAATTGCACAATTGGATGGAATGGCAAACGATATAATCACGATCTCCAACTTTTTTATCCGAGCATTTTGCATAATATCTAGGTCGCCAAACTGTTATTTTTGCAAACATTTTGTTTACATATAGCCTAAAAGTATTAATAATCAAAATATTATATTTTCAAAGTATAAAAAAGCGAGAAACTCGAATTTGTGAATAAAAATTTTGTCAGTATTTATTTGCACGTTTGCAGGCTAATTAAATATTTTGTAGGGTCACCGGCGACCCTAGGTGCTTGTTCTAAGATTGTTATTTCATTACAAAAGGTTATTTGTCCACTACTATAAATACAATCGTATTCTACATCGCTTTAAATACCGTAATTATGTTAACTTTATACAAAATTTTATATTTTATTTGAATATTGTTACTGTTAGATATTCGGAGAATATTCTCGACAATTAATATTGCTTCGTTAAACGTTCTTGGTTACGGAATTTTCACGATTGTTGGATGGACGTCAGCGTGTCGAGTCCGTCGGAGGCGATTAGGCTAGCACAGATGGTACCCAATTACTGTCCCCGGTTACCCCAGGTGATTTCCTAACTGATTCACACATTCGCTGACAGATGGGTGATTCATTGACTCGATAAGTCCAATTCTTTTCCCCTTCGAATCAGCTCGCCGAATTACTCTGACCAAACACCCCTACGACGAACTAGAAACGCTGACAAATCCGTCGTACCCTAATCCTGACACATTGCGTTCATTTACATATTTTGATCGTACACTTTATTTCCTCCAAACCGCTCATCGACTGTATCGAGACAGTTGATTAGATAATATCTGGCATTAGTACGAAATAAATTATTGCCAGAGATTCGGGTAGAAAGACCGAATACGGGTAGCGAGGCTTTTGCCAATAGCTCCAGGTGTTAGCTGCAATTCATCACATTGTGAAAAATTGCACCCGGATCCACCATCTCGCGTAGAATCAGGGTTGTAACCCCCATCTCTCTCTCTTCTGTCAACTTGACGTGTATTTCTTTTTTTCTTTTTTTGTTCATACACAATAGGTAGTGCAGGGAAAAAGCATTGCACACATTTTATTATTTCCGCACAACAATTGTCTACCGGAACATACGGAAATGTCGTTTATTTATTGTCTCATCTGTCTAAATCAATTTCCGCCCTCGTATTAAATTGACTCAATCGCGAAAAGCCAATACAGTGGAAGAAAAATAGCCGCGATCTCGTTGAAAATGAAAAATTCAATTTCTACGTACCCGTTGCTCTTGTTTGAAAAAAATCACGGGAAGAAAACTCGCGGCAGAATTCGGGACCCGATTTTTGTATTATTCTTTCACACGTGCGTTCGAGAACTTTAAGGATTTCATTACTAGTTTCTGCGAACTCTGAAAGCTTGCTTTTTCGTTTACGAACCTAAAATCGTCTGAATTTCGTAAGACTCGGAATTCTTGCCTCGATTTTGTGGGCCCAAAATTTGGTTAAATCCTGCATTTTGTTTCTTAATAATGTATAACCTGTTTGTTATAACTATATTAATTTTGTGCTCACTGTTTAAACCCTAGAAATTTAGTCCCAGTTTTTTGGGCCTTAACCCTAAATTATTGTCGAAATTTTGTAACGTCAATAACGCAGTCCCGTTTCCACAGACAACGTTCCCAATGTTTTCACATTTTTGTTATAGGATTATTTAGCTAGTATTGACCACGGTAATTGAAGCACAGTAATTAGATCAGCGTGCCGAAATTGCCACACAGTAATTAGAACAGCGTATAGAAATTTACACACACACACACACACACACACACACACACACACAGTAATTAGATGAACGTGCAGAAATTGACACACAGTAATTAGACCAGCGTGCAGAAATTGACAAACGGTAACCGGAAAAGGCTCGGCAACTGACACAGAGTAATTAAAGTTTCCTCGTTAAAAATTGTCGCGAACGTGTTGTTAAATATCTCGTATTATTTACACGTTTCGCTTGTGAAAAAAATCCGCACTTCTGTAAAAGACACGCAATTAAAACGTTTCAAAAACGACGACATTGGCGGACGTCGCTTTAATGTGCACAGTAACCGATACATTTGCCCTATTTCGAGGAACTCCCAAACTGTTTACCCTATTGCAATGCTAGCACGTTGTGTTCTCCCTCAGAAGACTCAGCAGCTCAGGGTGAAGAGGGTCGTGCAAGGTTATTGACCCGGAAGACATTGCATTGTCGGCCGGTCAGCGGCTCGCGGGGTGCATTCTTTGGCTCTGGGTAGTGCATCGATCGCGACAAGAAATTCGTGTTACATTCCAATCGGCGGAGGCCCTCCATTCGAAGGCGGGAGGGTGGGAGGGCACGTTCATTTCCGCAGCGGGCCGCGGGAGACAATGAACGGTTAATCGGATCTTGCTGCGGGCCATCCAACGTCGGAGCGACGTGCATACACGCCGGCACGGTGACGTATACACGTCCTCGGTCTACAGAGTCCGAGGCCGCTGTACGTGCCACCATAATCAGATGCAGCAACGAGCATTCAATTACCTCGGCCCGGCAATACATTCGCAGTAAGGAAGATCGGGCCCCGGATCCGAACATTTACATCGGCCTCGATCACGGAAAGGTGGGACGGCGCGAAAAATTATGTTCCCTTGTCCCATCGTTCCCTCCCGTAATTCAATTAACACGGCCTGCAGCGTGCATCGCGGAACAAACGCAGCCGGAATGCGACGCTCATATTTCTTATCGCCGGATTCATGCGAAAACGCTCACCTTCGCGGCAGCCGGTCGTTTTTGTTCCCACGGTTTCTTCCTCGAATCGATCCGCTGCTCCGCGAATTTCTTCTTTCACCTGCAACGATCGATTATTTAATTTCATTGAGCTTATTTCTGGCACGAACGGACAAGATGCTCTTTTAATTTTTCTGTAATACATCCGACATACTAATAATAATATAATAATATAATAATATAATAATATAATAATATAATAATATAATAATATAATAATACAATAATATAATAATATAATTAAATTAAAGTAATAATAAGATAATAATAAAATGAAAATATCGATTAGAATGATTACGTTCGTCCGTAAATAAAAATGTTAAAAACGGAAATCGAATAGAATATCTCTCCTATAGAATATTATTACAATCAGAGTTGTGCTAATTCAATCACATTGTAATTCAATTTCGCAATTTAATTACATGGTGTTTCAATTACACGGTAATTCAACTACGCTGTAATTCAATTACACAATTCAAACCTTTCGAAAGCCTTTTGCCTTGATCTTTTCAAGCTAATTCAATTGCTAGTTGTTTTCATAACGAGTGTAATTCGAATACAATGAAATTAAAATACAGTTGTTCACGTTGCGCAGCAAAATTGAAAAAAATGCGATACGTTTTTATGTTTTTCTTTCGTGTACTCGTCTTTCGTCTCTCCCGCCTATTTTCTTCGGTACTATTATCTATTAATTTATTAGTTTTCGACTCAATCACATTGTAATTCGTAATTAATGTAATTTAATTACGTAGTATTTTCTAATTCTACTCATACACGTGTGAAAAGGAATTGTTTCCCTTAGATTTGGAAATCAACTTTTACACCATAGTTTACTTCTTTCTAATTCTATTAGGTTCCCCAAGCATAAAAATATTAAAATTTGAATTAAAATTTGAAATATACAATTTATACAATTTATACAATTTCGAGATTTGCTTAAATAAAATATTTCAATTTTACGAAGAAATTTACAACTATTTCTGTTACGTTTCCAGTAGCTTCGCTCAACAACAGACTTCCGGTCCACTTTGAATCCACCGACGATCCTTTGAAAACGTTATTAAATTACATCGCAAAGAGCATTACCTTGAATAAGAGCGAAGCTACCATTTGTCCGAGCGATTTCATATTTAGTCATTCTCCGGAACGGATAACAAAGGATTTGTTGGCCGTGTGCTTTTGAAGAAATGATGCGCATCGACTGTTCATCGGGCGAATAATGGGAGGTTTTTGCAGCGGATTCATTAAAAGACCGGGAGACTGGACAAACGTCGAACCGGGGGGGCCCATTTGAAGTGCCGCGTTGCGACGGGTTCGGGGGCGACATGAATATTATAAGATAATGAATTATTTAGCGAACGCTTCTCTCGTAATGCCTCGTAATGCATTCAGCGATGAATATTTCAGCGAATCGGGCGCCGGTAAATGTTTTTGCATGAACAATCGGCGGACACTTTGTTTAACGGTAATATTGCGCGCCGTGATCCGCGTTAAACGACCTCGGCGATATCGTTTCTCGGGCACCGACGCGGCGCGATGGAACGCGACGCGACAGCCCACGACGGATGGGAACAGGCGGAAAACAAATAACGCGGTAATAATATTTCTGTTTCATGGCCGCCGCGCCCATTGCCGCTCAAATATTCTAGAATAAATATAACGACAATAACGCGCGTCCGTCCGGAAAACTAATATCGCCGCGAGCAAGGACCCCGCGACAATCGCACTTCTGCCGCGTCGTAAACTTTTTCATGAGAGAGGGAGAGAGTATGCGGTATGTACCATAGAAAAGGAAATGTTGTACAGATTGTACGATGCCCTTTAAATTGTTAACCAGTTAGCCGTGTTTCACGAGTATACTCGTCATGGAGAAGTGGCAGTATTTTGTGTCGCGACGAGTATACTCGTCCAGCGTAAAAAGTAGCGATCATTGGCTGTCTAAATTGTAATTTCTCAGTGAAAAAACAAAAATATATTCTGAAATTTCGAGATCTTTAGAATATTTTGAGGCCGGTCCTATACACGAAGGTGTTTACGTTGTTATAAAAATAATTTTGATTTGCAATTCGACGTGCAAAGTGCCATTATCTGTCGTTCCTTGCTTTGTTAATGTTAGGTGGATAAGTAAATATTAGTAATAAAATTATTAATTTTATCAAATAAAACCGTTTTTTTGATCCAATATTTTCACAGCGACGCTTACTCTGTGTTTGACGAGTATACTCGTCATCAGCGTCACAGCTAACTGGTTAAATGAAGTCGCTTGATAATCGAATGGGGAAATCTCCCACCTTTACTATAGCAACGCGTGAAGAATATTTTTAAGCCGGTCCTACACGAAGGAAAATAAGATTAGAAAAGAACCTAATATTGCAGTGTTCAAAACTCTATGCAAATATATATATATATATATATATATATATATATATATATATACATATATATATTATTTCAATTTAAATTAAAATTTAGTCCTTTGTTCGATCATATCAATTTATATCGAAGCGTGAATAATTATGAAATTCTATTCGAGGACGTCATTATTCTTTTTATTAAGTAGAGGGATTTCGTGCAACTGTTTGCACCATTTAGAAGTTCGCTAGATAGACTGTTAATACAATTTTAATGAACGGTGCAACGTGTTGGATGGCGACAGTGGCCTACTTTTTAACTATTCGCATGATTTATTGCGCCCGTCAAATTTAATCTATTGGCACATACGGTACTTGCACTTTTAACTTTCAAATATAAATGAAGATACCATAAAAATTATTTTCAAACGTGGTGTATAAATTTTTCGCGACAGCTCAGTCCAAAGAGTTCGATCAATTTGACGTTATCGAGAAATATTGAACGTTTTCGTATCAATTTCTCCTAATTTTTCAGAGGATCGACGATAAATTATCGCTCGAACGGCCGGCGTTTTTCACAAAAATATGACGAAGTACGGTCGTTTGTAATTTTATTTATCCATTTCTCTCAACAGATATGTCAAGGTACCATTTCTAGACGCGTTAACTCTTCTAGAGATCTTAATGAAACATTTGAAAGTTCCGATTAATTGTCGGAAATTATAATATTATCGTATACAAATATTTCTACTCTGGATTCCGATAAAACATTAAAGAGAAATATTTAATAGAAGATTAAAGAGACATCGAGAGGATCGCAACGGATTTATAATAATTTAATTCAAATAACGATGATCTATAAATATTTAATCAGTTGAAATTGGCATCTTTAAACGCACACTTGGCGCACATCGCAATTACCACAATCCATAATTCGTTCACATTCAACTGTCTCCTTCTTCTCTCGTTTAAAGCTGCGTTCTCTCTAAAAGTTCTTTCACACGACACTCTCATCAATTGACATTTATACGAAGTTCTCAATCCTCGATAAAGTAATCTGACACAGATCGGTCGCCGGTGAAGTCATTGATCGCATCACTTGCTACTTCGAGAGCCATACATGCGAGATCGAGCTCGATAAATGTTTCTGGGATCTTCGATCGATCTCTAAAGGTGAAAAGGGAATTATTAGACCGGTTCCATCGTAGTTTATTCGTGGGATCGTCGCCCTATTCGAATTCGTCGGGAAATCCTGAATGATATTTACCGTGATCCGGCCGGATCGTTTCCGAGAATAGAACTCTCGTTAAAGATTCACCAGGACCCGTGGAAATCACTGCGTTTAATCCGCTCTTAGACGTCCTCGCGGCGTTGTAACGCTTGTAAACGACGGACTCGCGAACAGCGGCTCGCCCTGTTGAGGAACGAGCTCGTGGTATCGATACACCGCGGAAATAATAGTCGAATAGCCAGTTGCGAACGTCAGGAACAGTGGTCGTAGAAAACCGAAATGAATCCTGGCGAATTTCTTGTTTTATCATTTTCTAAAGCCATCCCTTAACAACGTGAAAAGCAATCGCGAAAATTGTTTCTCAACTTTTTCAATAAATATTTTCATTTCTTGATTTATGTTCCCTTTTCAATCTTCTAATCATCGTGTGCAAAATTTTATTTTTTCTTTATCGGAACTTCAGCAAACTGCATCAAACGATATTTTTCGCTGAGGTACAGACAACTCTTATGGTCGGCGAAATCAGACCCTGAACAGTCAGAAATTAATTATCTATTGCATTTTTATCCTCTTGTTCTTCAAAGTTATTTAATATCGCAGTGTTCTCGATGCAGCCATGTTGAGATTAATTATTGAAATATGACGCGTCGTGTCCGGTTCGATGGAAACGTTAGAGAAAATATTATTGTTTCCCGACACAAAGGATTCGAAACGGAAGAATAATTATTCCGACGATGAATTCGATGTTCATTTAATGCGAACGAGGAAGCACTGTTTAGCTTGAAAAGCAGGGATTCACGATGTTTAATTAAAGTATTCGAAGGTGGCGCCGCGAAGGGCGCAGTTTGTTCCGGCAGGGTACACAGATACTTCGCCCATTGGATTCTGGAAGCGATTTTCAGTGCGAAGCATCATAGTAACGCTCGTCTGGCTCTCAACGGTCCTTGAAATTCGAGTGTCTCGGAATTTTGGTGGTGCGAGGCAACGGCCATGTGATTTCGCGCGATTACATGTCGCTTATTCGTATAAACGTACCTACTTCGGATCGGATGGTGAAAAAATCTTTGCAAATCGCACGATGATAGTAAATTCGAAATTCCTAGAAGCTCCGCGTGATCCTTCAGGTGCCACCGAGATTCCCGAAATTTCTGCGAGAATTTTCTGGGTTCCTCTGAACTTGAAATTCTTGTTAAAATTCCTTTGGGTCGCAACGAGATTCTCGAAATTTCTTTGAGAATTCTCCAAGGTGTTTCACACCTGAAATCGTTGCCAAGATTCCTAAGGATTTATTTAAGCAGTTCAAATTGCTTGCTGTATCGTTTAAGGTTTGCTGGATTTTTTGGGTACTCTTGGAGGATTTTTAGAGTACAAGGAATCTTTTGAAATCCTTTGGAGACCCTCGAGGACCCGTGGAATTTTTTAAAAGACTTACTGGGATCCTTTATAGCTTTTAGAATTATAGAATTCTCTCAAGGATTC